ACTCAGCACCCCCATATTCCTGTCTTCTCTTCCCCAACAGCATTGGCTCAAAAGGAAGGGAAACAGTCATCAGCTTCAGGCTGGTCATCACGGGGGGACAAAACATCTCTTCTCGCTCTCCGCCATGGCACTTTTACCAGCCCCTAGTCACCAACACATCTGAGTGCTTCATCTTTTGCTCACGTGCCTTTGCAGTGCTGCTATCCTTGTTTTACTGCTGGAGAGAGAGGTAGTTAGCCACGTTAGTCTGCAGTGAGTCAGAAAGCAGGGTAGATATGCACCTTTATAGACTAACTAAATAAGATTTTATATATAGAGAGAGAGCACAAGCTTTCATGAACCCCAGCTGACTTCATCAGACAGACAGGGAACAGTCCGTCTCCATCCTTTAAAGAAATAAAGGCAGGCTTTATGCCCTGAAAGGCAGTAAAGATGAAGGAACTGGGGTTTAACTCAGGTGAGCAGCCCAGGTTCAAGCCAGTGGGACTATCTCGTGTAGAGCCTCAAAAGCCACAATGCGACAGGCTCCACAAAGCTTTGCTTTCCCTGCAATTTGGAATCAGTCACCCAAGATCACACAGAATGGAGAAGCCTCACAAACACCAAGCCAGCAAATCCCTTAAACAGCAAATCATTTTTCTTTGACCTTCGATGCTGCTTTCTTGCCCCCCTGACCCCTACCCTGACAGTGCAGACGCTTTCAAATGTTCCCCAATCCAGACATGCTGATTTAACGCTACCATCAAAAGGAGGCCAGGTGAGTAAATATGTAAAAAAATAGTAGGTTATTGGCCCCTCCCTAAGAGCTGAACACAGGCACTTTCTCCAGCCCTTCCAACAGGCTGTCGAACCACAACGATTTGTAAAGAGACATCCCATTTCATTAAAGATTTCAAACCGTGTCTCTTTGGAACACCTTCGCCACTGGAGGAAGAGCATTTCAGGGTCTGCCTTCACACGAGTCCCAAATAAGGGATTTCCCTTCCAAAGAAATGAGATTTGGGAGGTCTGCATTAGCAGGTTTCATCACCATCGCCCATCGTTTGGGAACCACATGGATCAGCGCTGCCTGTTATAAGTTTCCTTTAAAAGGCAAAGATGGTGGTAATACAATTAAGAAAGTTATAATCCCTCCAGCCCTGTCATAATGTAAACCTTACTGCAGACAAAATGTGTCTTGTCATCTTTAACCTTATTGCATCGATTTCCTGTAGTCCCTTAATCTCCTAGCAATCCATGCACGCCAAGATTTTCCTGGATGCCTTTAGAAATAGAAACTCCTTCCCTTACATAGACGAGACGGTGTTGCAATGTTGCTGAAACATCTTTAAAGAGGCAAGATTATATAACGAATAATTAAACCAAATGAAAAGTCAGGGAGAACTAATACAATATCACAGCGCTGCGTCTTTACCAATGTATTCTCACAGTAGGGTACCCCCAAGCAAATAGCAAGAACATATTCCAGTCATTAAAATATTTTCAAATTAATTTAGCTTTAATTACAATCATCTCAAAGCAAGCATTTGCTGGACCAGACAAAATGAGCTGCTTTAAATCTCTGGCATTTTAAAATGTTTTCCTTTACCATTGCACAAGCAAACTTATTGCTGATGGGAAATGCTGAATGAGCAGTCCTGGGAACAGAAGCCTTTCTGCAAAAGAAGTGTTGCAGCTCGGGTAGAAAGCGTGACCCTCCACAGTTGGCCTTCCAGCAGGCTTCAGTCTTGATCTGCATTACTGCTGCGTATGGACCGTGCACGTGGTCTCCATGGCCTCACTCAGGTCTTTAACATCCAAGTCAAGATGCCAAAGAGGGTGCTTCTGCAATGGGGACACCTGCCTTCCAAGAACTGGAATAAGATGCTTTGGTTCATCACAAACACCTTTTGGGTGACAACTTCTGCTCACCCATGATACAGGTTGTAGTTGCATCTTTTTGTGAAAGAAACACATCTTGCCTTTAAGCTTTCCTCACTAACTCACTGCAACTCTTCAAGCCTTTAATAGGCATTTTCATGGTTTTCTCCCCCCCACACACACACACATACTTGCACAGATCTGCCTCAAATCTTCTGGGATGTACATGACCCCGCTACAAGCTAGCCTGCGGGTTTCTAAATATAATCAAATCTAAGTTTAGACGCCACCGTCAGTTTAACTTCTCTGCTAGTTCTAGCAAAAAGGATTTGCGTCAGACCTGTATTTTACCCTGGATCAATCCGAAATCGCTATATTTTAAAAAAGCCACCCCTCAGAAATAATAAATCAGGTTTTGGAAAGCTGTAGACAGAAGACTGAAAAACAAGCCTCCGCACAGCACTGCATTCACATCCCAATACTTCTGTGCCTCTAGTATACTAGAAGTTTTTTAGAGCCAGCAAAAAAAAAAAAAATCCTTTGAATTTACACTCATACCCATGCAGCTAATTAAAAAAAAAAAGCTATTAAGAAGGACAGTCAGAGCCAGCACACCAAATGCCGGAGGGGATGGTTTAATAGACTAAAGCTGTAAGTTCGAAGTGCTGAGGCTCTCTGGAGCCAGCAGCTCCTTTCCCACTAGGGCTGACTCAGTTCTTCAGCTGAAGTTAGACCCACCAAGGTCTGGGCACAACCCTGTATGCGTCTTTTGGATAACACCTTCAAAGCCTCCAAGGTCTGCTCTGCTTAGACATGAAAACCATTGTAGTCCTTTCCGGTGCCCTTTGCTTGAACATGCCGTTTATTTTTCCTTTAGTTGCTTGCTTCCGAGAGCCAGTCACACGTATATAATTTGTAGAACACCTTGGGACGCTTCAGGGTGAAGGGTGAAATATTAATAGCCATAAATCCACCTACCTTTGCAGTTCGCATCTTGCGGGGTGGCCCTCTCCAGTCAACCTTTTCTCCCAAACCTCGTGACTGGGCTCCTCTTGTACCTGCTCCGGTAATATCATCCCACCGCTCATTGCCAAGGGCATTCGCAAGGGGAGGCAGGAAAGAACCGCAATCCATCAGTCAGGATGAGCTACACATGCCCCCAGGCATCATTTCTAACCCCTAAAGCAAGCGTATCCTTACAGCGCTCTGCATGAGAGCTGTTAGGAGAGTCTGGCCTTGGGAGGGTTACCAGATATATGAAGTAGGACCCTGCGGTGTTAACAGGGGGCCTTATTCTGCCATAGATCTCAGTGCTCTTTAAAATAGAGTTCTAAATGATGGTTTGCGAATGGGATTATATGATGCGGCCGCCTGCAACAGCAGGCAGCTGGACCGGATGATCCAGCAAGTCCCTTCAGTTTTAAAATTTCAAGAGGAAAGGGGTATCTTGTTTACATATACGACAGGATGCACCAAAGCAGAGACACGTGAAGTGGGCTTGCCAGAGGTCTCTGAGGCAAGAACAGCAGGAAGCAATCCTAAACCTTAGACTACATGCAATGAATTAGGCCAAAGCAAGTTTTTTGGCAGTGCTTTTCTCTGGGGAGGAGAGTGGTATCAGCA